CACCTGGAGAACATTCTCCATTTCTACATAAAAAAAAAAGACTAAGGCCATCCAAACTCTGCATGAGAATTTGGTTCAATAGCTGGAAAGTTCTCGGATCTTAGATGCCTAAAGAATACTCTTTACTTGCAAGAGAGAAATTTATTCTGGGCAAGCAACATTTTGAGAGTTCTTCCTCTAAGAGCAAAGATAGTGTCATGAGCTTACAAGTATTAACTAAAACCTACCAAGGTTAATTTTGTTTTACATGATATTAGGTGATTGGAACCATTTCTACTCCTTATGGAAGGTAAACTAATCTATCTCAGCAAATTTAAAGTAATGGATGCAAATAACAGTATATGTATAAAGCACCTGTAAAATAAACTGCATTTTAAGTGTCACACTTTTATAAATCAGAATCACTTTGGACTTTTGAGCAGTTAATGTTCAGTTTTTTTCCTGCTCAATTTGTGGGATGATATCACTCAGGAAACAATTGCCATTGTTTTTCACAATAAAATGAGATTCAAATATAGAAAACAACACAAGGGGTAGTTGCATGAACCACATATTACACACGGCCTTAGTTTCGCTTACAAGTGGAACTTTTGGTGGCCACACGAATCACAACTCAATTAGTTGTAAATTTAAAGAGGAACTACTGATTGACAGCAGATAAAATGCGTCTGAAAAAGAACAACAGAGAGACCTCGCGTACACCGAATGAAATACAGAAGAACCTCTTTCAAACGAAAAACAAATAAGAAGTGGAAACAATTAACTTCGTAAAAATAATCTGTACTTACATTTTATGGCATGCAAAAAATATTCCACACCATGTTCATAGAGTCGAAGAGCCTCTTCGTAATTTCCAGCTTTGTCCTCATCTGTAGCCTTAGTTACAATCTCTATAGCTTTCTAAAAACATGACAAAAGGACACGGTAGATTGAAAGCTTGAATGTTGCTTAAGGCGCTAGAACTAAGTGAGACACTTTTGCAGGTTTTCCTGAGTCGCCAAGGCTTTCGATCTCATTTTTTTATGACAATTTAGGAAATCTGTGAAACAAAAAACCTTTTGAAAAGCAAGTAACAAGTTCACCTTTAAAGTGCCTCCCTCTGACATAGCTGCAGGTTAATCAAAATAGCCCAGTAGATGAAGCAAAGGAAAAGAAATCCTTCGCTGATCGACAGGAACTTACAAAAGCTAAAATGGCTGCCTAACTAGGAATACCGCTGGTCAGTTTTTATATCCTCGGGTTTGACGTCAACCTCCGAAAATAAAAACTTACTGACGTCATAATAATTTTCACGTATGATATATCGAGTTTATGATTTAGATAGTGTACTTCACTCGGGCTGATATCTTTGGTATTCATGAGAAAATTTGGCTAAGCTGTGGTAGAGACCGTAAGCTTCCTGATCAAAAAGGAAAAAAAAAATGCCTCTTGGGCGCCCCGCTCCCTGCCGCGCAAACTTTTTCTTCGATGAAATCTCTCTTAAGATGGACCAAACAAGTTGATTTAGAGAGGAAAATGAAGGTTCCAAAAAAGAGAGAAATAATAGCCTGAAAGTGAGAGAAAAGGGTGAAGACAAAAGGGAAGATGTATAAACGGGAACAACTCGCCCTTTTTGATGATCTCCCTTTCACACCAATGTTCCGTTCCAATTATTTCGGATGCGGGGAGTAAACTTTTCTAGCAACCTCAGTTGTTATCTAATGGTCTTTTACCATGTTATCTAATAGTCTTTTACCCCCATCTCACCCCTGTTCATCCCTTCCACGCAACCAAAGCCGATTTTACTGTTGTAAAGACAATAACATTTTTTCTGTGAGGGCAAATTCGGAGGAGTCTATGTCTCTAGCGAAGTTACGACATGCTTTGCAAAGAATGAAACACATACATAATTATTTTTAGTGTTCATATGGTTAAAATTTGAGGCAAAGGGAAGTTATAGAAAAAAGGATGGAAAGTTTTCATACGAGGTGTACAAAAAGGGTACCATTTCTTCCGCTTGGTAAAGGTGCAATACACAACAAAAATCCGAACACTCCCTATATTTGTCCAGAAGGCTGACAGTTAGCAACATATCAAACTCATGGGGTACAAATAGTCTTAACATGAATGTAGTGACCACGCCCACTTCAACACCCCACTCAAATCGAGTGCAATTTTCGAATGTTTTACCATCGTACGGATTCTCTACGGAAAAACACTCAATGTACCTCTGAAATATTAAACTATAATATTGTGGCTTTCTATTTCGCTAATTTTCTAACTTGAAGGTAAAGTTTTTCCCTCGTCATTTTTACCTTTTCTCCGAGCGGTTGCGTGAAATTAACAAGGCGTTTTTGATCAAAACACGACCGAGCGAAGGGTCTCGGACTATATCTCTTTTAAGCAGGCGCAAATTAAAAATATACCGCCAGAATCAAAAAGAGAAACAAATTTCCTTTGTTTTGATATGTAAAGTGTCGAACAAAAAGTAGATTTACCCTCGTCAAATGGCGTTTCAAAACATCTGTATCTTCCTCCTTTTGATTTTTTCCTGTTTTGTAAGCGTGAAAGTAGTAGGAGAGGGATCGGGAAAGTCCGAAAGCGCTTCGGGAATTAATCTACCATCGTTTATTTACAAGATAAACAAGTAAGATTTGTGAAGTTCGTTGAAGTATGAAGTCTAAATAAATGCCTTTTTAAAGCTTGTTTGCTGGATTTTTCGTAAACTTCCCTTATTAATTTTTCGTTTCAGCTTACTAATCTATACTATTTCAAAGCAATGTAAAGACGGAGACGGAGAACCATGCGGTCGGTCCTTTCAACAATCGAAAACAAAGTGTTTGAGCAATCAGGTATAACAATCAATTAGCCGCATATCAGAAGTCTTCAGAAAGAAAGTATTCTGTCTTCAGAAAGCTGTTAAAAAAACTAGTAATCGTGGCGGAAGGCAATTAAATGCACTTCTTAGCAAGTTGGAAACGGGCCCTCGGTATCGATTTAATATCATATCGATCTCAGTATCATACAGTTTTGTATCTTTCTTCCGTGGATTCGCCTTTCTAACGAGGGTGTATGTTGAGTATTCATTGCAAAATCGCCTTGTTTTTTTTATTTCCCTCTTTGGCCTGTCCTCCATTTTGAAAATTCGTAACGGAGAGCATACGCATTACGTGGGGTTAGTGGTTGCGCACACCTGGAACCGTGAAAAACAAATGTTCGTCGCACTGGGGAAAGAGTTTGATATGTTATTCTTGATGCTCAGAGATTATAAAGAAATCCAAAGAATCCGAGAGAAGAGTAAATGATTGTATTAAACTTCAATGAAATTTTCTTTCTTTCTGCTGCTTGGTTCTTCAAAGCAATGGTGAGGTCGTTTCCGAGTGTAAATCGACGACGGAAACCTCACTTTAAGTTCACACCCAAAATGCCTGGCGCTTACAACTTGGAAGTGAAAATGAAAGGTTGGCAAACTTTCCATTTGTCCAGTACCTGTGCTCGTTAAAGAAGAATGTGAACTTGTAGTGGACGGTGAACTGGATCTCAAACTTTTTCCTGATGAGCAAGTTTCCTAAACCAATAGAATACAAATCATAGAGCATGTTAAAGAAAAACCAATGCAATTCCAGATAAGTTTCGACTCCCAGTTGAAAGTTGCTTTAAAATTCGCTGCAACACACCATTTCCGCATGTTACCCGGTAAGAGTCACTTTTCGCCCAGTTTCCAAACCCATGTTTTGAGAGTAACACATAAAAGAAATGAGTAATTTTTCCAATGCTAGTATATAGTTGGTCTTTATTTTGTCAAAGTGATAGACAGTGATTGATTCAAAACCCTCCTCAACATTCTGCGTCCCGAAGTTTTAAGTTTTACGGCTTCTGTAAACGTTTTCTTTTTCAAGCCCAAAGGGTTAAAGATAGAGACAAAGCGTACACGACCACTACATGACTGTTACACCACATAGTTGTTCTTTGTGCATGTCATGAGCAGCGGACAATGCCATTAGGCGCCATTTTGAAAAACAAAGCTGGAAAACAGTGTACTTTTTTTTGGGCAGCGATCGAGATAAAATTTTGTCCAATATTGTTCCGCTGTATCGGGATCAATAGTATTATTTTGTAAAGGAGGCAGTAAATTAAGATGGAATGCGTGAAAACTATCGATGGATTTATCAAAAACTCACAATCTACGAGGAAATCTCCAACTTCACTTCTTTTGAGACCAAGCTGAAATAACAAAATGACAGCCAACAACAGCGAAAATTGTGGCTATGATGTTGTGTCTACTTCTTTCCCAAAGGAGATCTGTTACATAGATGCACAGATAAACAGTCTGCTAGACGTACATCTAGATCCACGATTACTCTCCGTAAATCTACATTGCAACAATATTTCTGTGATAGAGAATCTTGACAGACTGCAGCACCTTAAACACCTCGATCTGTCGTCCAATCGCATCACAAGAATGCAAGGGCTTGATGGTTTGATGAGCCTAAAAACCCTCAACTTATCCTGCAACGAACTGCGTGTAGTTGAAGGATTGGATAGTCTAAGGTCCTGCTTTGCTTAATTTTTTTTTGAAATGTTGCTGGGGTTAGGGGAAGTAGGAGAGTTCTCAAGTCTAAATATGGCAAGTTAAGGCATGCTATTAAAAGATAATGGCCTAGTCTCTTTTCAGATTCTGCTGTTTATATAACAACTATTCATATCAGTGATGGTGTTTTTGGTGGATATTTACTGAACCACAAAGCAGTGAGATAATTAAGCAATTAGGGATGATTTTAATTAATTTATTTTTATGTGACGATCACAGTGTTTTCAGTTGTAAGTTGCTGGGAGGTGAATAGCAAAGAACATTTGGAGTTTGAGTAGCCAATGAGGGTGCATCCTCAATGCTATCTGCTGTTTTAGTTTATATTAAAAAAAAGTAACTTTCTCTTCATAATCATTGGATCTTCATGATTCTCTGTTCCCATTCCCTAAAATCTGAAGCAAATATTTAATTAGACACTATTATGATATTGAAATACATTTAAATTGATTTGCAACAGAATTTTGGAAAATATAAAAGATTATCAGTTCCAAAGTACTTTTTTATGGGAGTGGCAAAAGAAAACAGATTTGGGAACTTTGTCTAACCAGGGAATGTTTGACTTCTTAAACATTTTTATTAATTTGTTTCCTTGTAGGAATTTGGTTAAGCTGGATTTATCCTACAATGTAATCTATGATCTCTCAGGCCTAAAGAAAATTCATGGATCCTCCTTTAGCTTACGAAGCTTATATCTCCATGGAAATGAGCTTAGTTCACTGGATCATTTAATTAACTGTCTTGCTGGATGCAGAATGCTTCAAGAGTTGACATTATCACTGTATGGGGAAGCCAACCCTGTTTGTGAAATACCAGATTATCGATCCAGTGTACTGGCTTCACTGAAAAATTTGGAAGTGTTAGATGGCCAGGACAGGACTGGGAAACCAGCAGCAACAAGGGACAGTGTGCTTGACATTCCAGGTTGGATTCTTGGTTTTTGTTAATTACTTTATTCACCAAATTAAATGGGCAGCATCTATTTATTTTGTAATGTTTCTGATGCAGTGGTGTTTATATTTGCACAAAAATGAACAGAAAGCTTTTATGTCTCCCTTGCTTGTGATAAATTTAACAGTGATGGTGTATAGTACTGAGATGAATGATACTATAATCCTTGAGTAAATGCCTCATATTCCTGGTATTCTTAGGTAATTTTGTCCCCATCTTAAAAGAGGGATATTGATTAATGTTATTTTTTAGAATTGACTTTGCTGGGATGGACTTTCTTATAGAGAAAACTAATTTTTTTGTTATTGACAATTAACAGAAATGGATGATTATCTGGAATATTTAGAATCAGAAAATTCCTCTGAAATCCCTAGTGTAAGTAAATTCTAAAATTTTGTTTAAGTATAATTAATGTATTCTTAAACATGTACAGGTTAATTGTGTTCTTGAAATTGGAGTGACTGTGACCCAGAAAACTATAATTTGTTCCTTCTTTTTCCAGAAAGAAACAAAGTATGAAGTTTTGACTCCAAAGATTGACTTGGCGCTGGACAGATTCAGGCAACGAGGACCTCTGTCATCAGAAACTGACGCTGGAGAGGAGAAAAGAACTGAGAATCCCACTGAGGTTTGCACCACATTACATACCCTTTGGATTTTAAAATAAAAGATTTTCCATATAGGCAGACACAGCAAAGAGAAATAATAATTTAAAGAGAATTCAAAAGTTCATAAAAATATTATGCTTATTATAAAAGGTGACTGGGGAGATGAAGAAGCCTTCTAGTAATACCATGGTTGTAACTGGATCAAAAGTCTTCATAAAACTTAGGAATCAAGTTATGCATAATTTGATTATAAATGTGTCATTTAGATGAAAAACAAGTGCTTTTGTTGACAAACAATGCTTTAAATATTACAGGTTGTAAAAGTTGAACAGGGCTGTAAATAGACAAATGAAATAAGAAAAAGAACTTTAGATATGCCACCTTCCCAGGGTGGTTCTTTGTCCACCGTTTTTCCGATTTAATTATAATTTGGAGAGCTAGTTTTTCTTGGAGACAATAAAACTGAAAACCTGGGGGAAAGTCTTTGGCGAAAGATTTGGCCTGCCACAAAATCAATCTACATGTGATGTCAGGAGCAGGAATGAAACCCCAGACCAAACCTGTGGGAGGGAAGCACACTCACCACTGATCCATCCTTGCTTCTCTGTTTTTTTCATTAGTTTTCACTTTGTTTTTCAGAGGCCAGCTGTTCAGGTAAGCCTGTCAGCTGATCATGAGATTCGTTTAGAGACTCTTGAACATCAACTTAACCGTCTGATTCACAACACAGTAAGTTATATGCTAATTACCCATCTAGGTTCAGTTGTGCAAAGGGGAGGTAGCATTATCCAACTGATAAATTGCTATCCATTAGATAAATGATAACAAAATGAACTGTACTATCCAATGGATAGAGATTTCCGCAGTGGAGAGAATTATCCAACCTTTAAACAACTGGGACCTAAAGACACTGAAATGATTTAGTTGGACTGAAAGGATCCTTTACTATAAGGAGATGTCCTCCAAGTTTCTGTAGAATGTAGAACTTATAGTTTTTGTTAATTGTCACTTTTTGGGGGATGTAGTTGGGACAGTCCTGTGTAAGATCTAATGGGGATCTTTTAAAATTGTTAGAGGACTTAAATTTTTAAATTGTCCAGAGGAAATGAAGATTTTGTGACAATGAGCCAAGACCTATGTCACTGTGACTTGTTCTAGAGCATAACCCTTAAGGAAGCTTAATAGTGTGAACCATCCATCAGATAAGAGTTATTTATGGTACATGTTTGGCAAGGAATTTTGAATCCTAGGGGTCAACAAATTTATTCTTGTGGTGAGAGAAAAAAAAACATGGTGCACACGGAATATAAATGATTATTTTTTTGCAGGAAAGAGCACAGGTTTCAAGGAAGATCAGAAATCCAAGTGCAGAGCCTGGTAGGTTTGAAGCTAGCAGGAGGATGATAACATTTATCTTGTCCAAATTTTTAAATGTATGGTGGTTTTGGAAGTGTTCAAGTCCTTAGGTACTAGCTGAAATAACACAAAGTTGTTTTACCTTATCTAGACCACATCACAGACATCAGTGAATTGTGAATTATTAAAGAAAGAGAGGGTGATAGGGTGCTGTTTAACTGTAGGGTCTAAGGAGACTGTTGATGATAGGGTGCTGTTTAACTGTAGGGTCTAAGGAGACTGTTCATGGTAGGGTACTGTTTAACTGTAGGGTTTAAGAAGGCTGTTGATGATAGGGTGCTGTTTAACTGTAGGGTCTAAGGAGGCTGTTGCAAATGTGCTAATACCAGTCTAGATGTGTACATGCACAGATAAACACGAAACAAATAGTTGTAGGCTGCTTTCTCCCTTAAAGCCCCAGAGTGTTGAAGGGAACAAGTGAATAATGTACCTTTGAATGGGGAAGGAGAGAGACACACTGTCCCCCAATCTCTTTCACCAAAAAGTCGTCCATCCATAACCAAAAAAAAAGGCAATAAAATGGCTTGCTTTTTAGTCTCATGTTAAAGAATGCAAGCACATATCGCATGATGTTGTTGTTCTCACTAGATATTAACCGATCAGCTGATTCTGAATCAACTGAACAGCCAGACAAAAAGAAAAAAGTACAACTTTCACCCAAAGCTAGAAGAAGTCAATGGGTTCCAGTATCAAAGAAACCAGGACAGACAAAGACACGCACCAAGCCAGCGGTTCATGTCACAGTGGAGTCAACAAGCTCCACATCACCATCAGATGAACAAGTG